AGCTCTCATTTAGGTGGAGAATTCTAGGAGCATCTCTATGCTACTAGTCTTCCATACACGCCACATGTGCAGCCGCCATGTTGTCACCTTGTTGGCACCATGTCATCTGCCACATGTGACAGTACCAAGGGGGGTGGCCACCATCATACCACCCCTAGGACGTGGCAAGGGGGGTGGGCATCATACCGCCAACCCCAGGACATGGTGAGGGGGGGGGGTGATGGTCGAATTTGGCTAAGGCAAGGAGTATGGTAGCCACCCCCAGAAGGTACCAAGGGGGGTAGCCACCATCATATCACCCCCAGGGGGTACCAAGGGGGGTAGCGAGGGTGATCACCAAGCCATGAGCATGCAATCCCCATGCGTGGTCAACATCACCCCCATGAGGTTGCCGGGGGGGCTACCAAGACACCACCCTCATGAGGTGGCCAAGGGGGGTCAGGTGGGCACGTGGTCTCCCTACTCCCGTAATGGTGAAGTATTTTTGCCATTTTTGACTCAAGTGATTCGAGTACCCACCCATATGTGGCACGTGGTATGCTTTCATGCCTTAGCCATTTTTTCTCTATAGACACGCAAAGCTACGGAGGAGATACCAAGAGCATGGAGTGAGGTCTCAAGAGGAGAGGCCAAGATTGGTATACATCCAACGTCAAGGTAACCGTCGAATCAGTTGAGAGGGTAACCGCCACTCCACGTCACCAGAGCAGTTTCTTGGGGCAGTTACTTCTGGTGGCTATAAATAGGATGTGAAGATAACAGAGAAGGGGTTCGCAAAAATCACAACTTGACACCACTTGTCAAGATTTATCTTTTTATCTTTTCCTCTTCAAATTTTAGCCATAATCGTAGTTTTTGGAGCTCTCACTGAACCTCCATAGGAGTAGGGCTAATTTAATGTAGATTTGCCTCGTAGTTCATCAAAACATTGAACACCCTTGTTTGAACTTTGTTGAAAGAGGTGTGAACTGTGTTGTTTGATCGTTTGTTTGGAAGTCAAAGGTGCAAAATCCAATTCTGTTCATCTAGTTTTTCTCGCCGGGAAAACACAACATTACATGGAACGCTGGCACATGGACTCAGGAAAACGAGGCACTGGCGTTTTGGCTCCACAGTTGTTTTGGCTAAATTGAGTAATAGCAGCAGATCCAGGATTAAGTAATGCACTGGCCCGCATTTGAATAGAAAATTAGATACCATAAACAAAAATATAATAACTATTGTTTTCATTACAATGTCAATTGTACTCGACGGTCTTTTAATTTAGCAAATTCATCAATAACAGAGTCTTATCCATACCAATAACATACTCTCTCTCTCTCTCTCTCTCTCTCAAAGAAAATAGTTACACAACCAGCGAGAAATTCATCACCCATTTTGTTGCGCAATCTCTCACATGTTTCATTGCTGAAAAGGATCTCTCGGTAGTAGTCGATGAAATGGGCAACATCAACACTAGACAAATCAACCAACAAATCAATCTTCTCTAGTAATTTTGCAAGGGAAGAAACCTCATATTCCTGGTTATGAACCACATGAGAGGCGTAATATCCTAGCTCACTCTTCAAACAATGCATCTCATTTCCTTCATAGTCCTGTGGATAAAAATCTTCCGCAAGTTTGTATATATTAATTTCATCAAAATATCAAAAAGAACTTCTAGGATCTGGTGCACCACTCAACTGAAGCAATCTAATTGATAACTCATTGAATCTTGAATTCAATGTTCCCAACTGAAAATCTATGCAGTGATTAAAGTATTCAAAATGATAGTGGCGCTCAAGAGTTGTTTGTTTCTCACCACGTCCAAGTATAGCATTCATAGTAGGTACCATTATTGCATGTTTTGAGCAAAAAGATTTTACCTCCTCGAATACCTTGTCCCACACTTTATCTTGTAGCTGTTGAAGTTGAAATTTTGCTATTGAAATAAATCCAACTGCAGCTACAATGTAAATAATAGCTTCTTCTTGAAATGCTTGACATAGAAAATATGTTCTCCCCATAATCCCTTTCATCAAATGTAGATTGAATACAAACTCAAAAGTCTTGATATTCTTTGAAGCACCTCTAGCTTGAGCTCGATGTATTCCTTCTTTAGAACGACTACGATCCTCAAGCACTACACAAGTTGCATCGAAAATGTTTATAATGCTCAATATGGAATGATAATGAGATCCCCAACGAGTTGGTCCATAACGCTTTAAGGATATCATTTGATTAGCTCCTTGTCCATATTGAATTCCTCCAACATCTAATGTACTATCAAGATCTCTTTTGTGAATTGCTTGTGAGTCCCTAATCCATTTAGGAGATGCCTTCACAACGTTTATGATAGAATCCAATAACGAAAAGAAATCTCATATAGGATAACATATTGCAGAACTAAGTATTGCCAACTGTAATCTATGTGCAAAACAACGAACAAAGTAGGCATATGGGCATTCTCTAAGAAATAATGCTTGGACTCCGTTAAAATGTCCTGACATATTACTTACAACATTGTATCCTTGACCTCTCAATTTTCAAGTTTGAAGGTCATATTGAGAGAGAACGTTACAAATAGCTTGTTTAAGCGTTTTTTGAGAAGTTTTAGCAACAATCTTGAGAGCAAAAAAGTGTTCAATTTCTATACCATAAGTGCTGACATACCTCAAAATACTAGACATTTGTTCCTTTCCCGCTTCATCAACAAGAATAGAGAAATAAGAATCCCCAATTTTCCGTATCTTACGACGCACTCTATTTGCTATGATTCCTAAAATCTCTTTTTGAATGCTTGGTGAAATATATTTCACACTTACTGCTGCATTATGAAGAAAATACCATGGTTCTTGAAAGCGACAAAGTTTATTTGGATATTCTAGGGGCTTATAGTATGTGAGTTTAGGTTGATAAACCTTGTATATTAGGTACTTTCTCCTAATCTCATCTCTTAACTCAATAGCCCAATCACATATTTTCTTCCTCTTTCCTGGATCTCTTTCAACTTCAATTCCATTGTCACATGATGAATATAGTTTACCGAATAGAGAAGTAGATGATTGGTTTTTAATTGGTGAGGAAGATGGTAGACCTTCATTAGGAGGAACTTCTCCGGTTTGACGATTTTCAGATTCATTACGTTGATATTAAGAAAATAATGTTTTTCGCCTTTTATTTGGTGCTTGAGAAGATGCTATGATGAAGTATCTTTAAATCTGCATAATCAAATAACACAACGATTATATACTCTCAAGTTTCATAACTCCATTCCAAACTCAGGCCAAGCTCAAGCCAAGTAAAAAATTAGACTCGACTACCAAAAGCTGTATAAGTTCTGGACACCAAATAAAAAGGCAAACTTGTATACACAAACACATATATTAAATCCAAAAACCAGAATGGCCAATTGCACAATTGCAACACACCCCAACTGCAATTTTCAAGAATCCTAACCCCTAATGGTGAAATCCCAATCCCCAATTCACTAACCCTAAGCATGAGATTCGTTTAATCTTAAAATGAAAATCAACGCTTCTGATTCGTCAAAATTATCATTGATTTTCGTTTTAAGATTAAAGAATCTCATGGTTTGGGTTAGAAAATTAGGGACTGTGGTTCACCCACTAGAGGTTAGGGTATAATATCATGCCCCAAACTCCGGTTAAATCATGATCTAAATAGAAAAACTCTATGTGAAATTGCAATTGTACCTGGGGTGGGTGTAGATAATTCGAATCGACTCGTTTTACAAAACGAGACAACTGATTCATCCAAACGACCCCAAGTACTAAAGAAAAATGGAACAAAGTGACATTTGGATCGGACCAAATTCACGAGAACCTTCGTGCAATAATGAAGACCAATGCAGAACCCTAACCAATGTTATAGATAGGTCACCACCTCCCACCCATATACGGCAATTGCTGCCGGTTCCTACTCTTTCTTTATTATCCCGCGTACAACATCAATATACCAGTGGGCAGCAGGTTTTGTTGCACGGTTCGATGCACTCACTTTTTTGGGTGCATTTAGTGCACTCGCTTCATGATCGTCATTTTAAACATGCGATTTACGTCAAAATAATGTCAATCATCACTTAGGATGTGATGAACAATAATACACATGAATTTGCACAAAAACTATTGCAGATTTACTTTAATTTGAAGGATTCAGAGTTTAGAGATTTAAGGTTAGGGTTTACAATTTGGGGTTTAGGGATAGAACTGAAAATTGGAGGTCTAGGGCTTAGGGTAATTCACTAATTAGTTGTTATCATATGTAATATCATCATTTACACTAATTCTTCAAATTAAAATTCAAAATCCGACACCTTAAGACTAGTTTTTGAGTTGGGTGCATTTGAACGCATTCATTTTTGCAAGCTTTATCAACTTATAATTTCTCTGAGAATGTATTTTGCCATTTCAGTATCCAATTAAAGCGAAGCGTAGCGAGCGCGCTTATCTAGCTTGTATATAAAAAGATGAGTTCTAAGTTTACTATTCATTAACCGGTAAAACAGTAAATAACTTCAACTTTAGTGACATTTCTTCAACATGCCAAATATTTTGCATAATTTCCCTTTCTGTTTATTGATTTTACCTCTTGCCTTATTTTTCAAAGATGCCACATATTTTGTTTCATTTGTTTTGGTAACATATGGGAATCTCTAAGTGATCCATTTTTTTTAATTATATCCTTTAGTTTTTCCTATACTAGAACTTTCATCTTCGTTCGTTTTAATTATTGCATTGATACCCATATCTCTCTCGCAGTTTCGAATAGAAAGACAAAGGGGAAATCTCCCATCCGATCGAAGAGAACGAAAGTGGCATACAAAATAATAGAACCATATGTTATGTTTTTTAGTCTTTCTCCTGGTGGATTTTTTCCTCATATTCTCATTTTTACTATATTATTATATCAAATTAAAGTCATACGTTAATTCTTAGTTCATCCTTTTGTTTCTTCAGTTAAAAAAGATGCATAATAAGTTATCTCTTGTTCTTTCCATTTCAAACGTATAAACTTTATAAATTTCTAACTAATAGTTGTGATTTGTGAAATTCTAACTTGAACAGGTTCTTGCTCAATAGTAGGTAGATCGTATTCCTCTTATTTGTAACATTGTTAGCCAACGAGTGCAAATTACTATGAAGTTCTCCTAGGATATTTTTGTGATTTTTCTTGCAGGTTTTTTTGTTATGTCTTACGAGTTACGTTTTATTAATGATTCCATGCATTTATCCACTCACGGCGAGGCACAAGCAAGCAAGCTTGCTGGCATTTCTAGCTAGGTCTCCAAATTCAAGGATTTGAGCAGTGCCACTTCATTTCTGCAGTGAAATCACAATCAAAATATTCACATTTGAGTAATTACATTTTGTGTGTACACACACTCAAGATCTCAAAAAAAAAAAAAAAAACTTTTCTCACATATCATCTTCTGAGCTTGGTGCATGTAACTCCCAAGGGCTTAGCCAAAAGACTTGTTCTCATCACTCGCTCTCCTTTAGTTCTTCTTCCCGCACGTTGTGTATGTGCAAAGTGGTCAGCCAACTCAATTAGAAATGTCATTCCCAGGAGACACCCTAAAACCAAAACACCATCCAATAGTTAATCAGAAACTCGTATAAACAAACAAGTAACACAGACAGACGCCAAAAATTCTATAAAAATGTGCAATAATGCAGGTGCTTTCATACTGAAGGGTTAGTCCAGGTTTATTCTGTAGCGAGCCTGGGATCTTGCCGCGTAAATTGTTGTTCTGCAGGTATCTATTTCATACAAAGCAAAATGTACGTCAGGAGTTTTGGTTATTAAAATCTGATTGATAAAGAAAAGTTCAAATCGGAAGCAATGCTCCAACTAATTAATTACATCTCTTGAATCCTCTTCAACTGCCCTAAAGACTGAGGTATCAACCCTTCAAGCTGGTTGTTTTCCAGATGCCTGTACCAAGAACATAGACGACATCTTTGATAGTGAGAACAAGCTAGGAAAAGGAAAAGAGAGATCAGATCAATAAAAAAATTCGGGAGAGTAACATACAAATATTGCAGATCCTTCAATGAACCCATATCAGGGATTTCACCAGTAAGCTTGTTCCCTCCTAAAGAACTACAAACAAATATTCATCCAATAAACACACAACATTATTATTCATCTTAGATGTTTACACCTTTTTAATCGTCCACTTCGCACTGAAATAGTTATTACTTTTTCAACAATCAAGTTGGATATTGTTAAACATGCATGCAGCAAAATAAGAAAGAGGAATTAAGGGTGCTTACATAGAGGTGAGTGCAGTCAAGTTTGCAATGCTTGGAGATATGGAGCCAGCTAATCCTTTGTTTCTAAGTTCTCTGTCACAAATTAAATAGTTTGAAGATTTTAAGCAGCAATGTTAACCATTTACCCTAGAATAATTGAGAATTTACTTACTCTATTGAAACTTACATCTTCTGAACTCTAGCCATTAACTCACGAGTGCAAGTAAGTCCGGTCCAGGAGTTGTCTGGAGGCAAACAAGGATCACCAACCCAGTCTGCGGGCGGGTCGTCAAAGCTACTACCCAAAGCTTCCATGGCAATCACTGGGAATGAAACCAGGCCATCAACAACGATGGGGTACGGTTGAGGAACAAATTGCAAATTTCCATTCTAACTAGCTAGAAGATGGTACGTAGAAAATTAAATGAATGAATGATCATTAATTTGTACGTACGAACCATCTCTGGTTTGTGTCCTGGAACCATAGGGCAAAAGTTGGAGGACCTCGGCGGCATTGATCACCGGGCCAACGGGCATGTCATCAGCCGGAGTCAACATTAGCTCGGTGACGCCGGAGAGGGGCCATTCCGATGCATAAACTGTGACGCCTTTATCCGTCACGTTGAGATCTTTGTAGAACAACATTCCGTTCAATGTGACGCTGAACACCCTCCAGCTATAAAGGCTGGGCGTCCTGTTGTCCTGGAAGTACATCGCCACGTAGTACTTGGTGGCCGGAAGCGACATCGGCGGCCACTGGAACCTGATCGTCTTGCCTCGGCTGGTGGTGAACCCTCTAGTGAACGCTTTCGCTGGCGGGAAGTTCCAGAAGTCTGATGATGTCACATTTGACTTGCTCTCCACTGTCGGCTGGTTGTTGTCGTGAAATGGCTCCCACAACCGGTAGTATTGGTCGTCCGGAAAGCTACGTACGTACACCAAAAGAAATTAATTAATAGGGAAAACAAACAAGTAACTCGGTACGTAACACCTGTTAGAGAGTGGTATAAGATCCACGATTGAATCTCTTCCAACAACTCGAGTTATTGGGATCAACTGGTTCTTGACATAGTATCAGAGCCTAGAACCGAAAGGTCATGTGTTTGAATCTCCACGACCCCAATATTAATCGTTGTCTTTCAAGCACATGGTATGGTGAGCCTATGCAAACTTCAAGCCCATGGGTTGGCTTTCGTTTGAAGGGGCGTGTTAGAGAGTGGTATAAGATCAACAATTGAATCTCTCCCAACAACTCGAGTTATTGGGACCAACTGATTCTCGACAACACCAATATAATCCTCACCATAAATGAAAAACAAATTAAGTACCAATTGTAATAATTTCTTTGTTTTTTACCTTATCGCCCCGCCCTCGTGTCCGAAGTAGTTTCTGGAGACGGTGGTGAGAGCGTACTTGGTGAAATCGGTGGAATTGTACATGGAATTCTCGAGCGACTGAACCACCATTGCGGAGATGAAAGGGTAGGAGGTGGTATTCTTGTTCCGGGCGAGGCAGACGTTTAAGGTCTTGGTGGGAGAGACGAGGATGATCTCGTAATAAGTGGTCTGACCCTTGGCGTAATCCTCGGTGGTGTTGACGGTGGCCCATTTCGTCCCTTGAACGATCTGATCAAACACCGGGGGCTCTTTCCCTCCGTCGAACCCGCCGTAGTAGTAGATCGTCCTCACCAGGTACTTCCCGCCTTTGGTGACCTGGAACGCGTAGCAGTATTTGCGAGCTTGGCCGTCCGGGAAGAATCGGAGGGTGGAGAGGATCGGAAGTATGCCAGGGGTTTTCACGGTGCCTTTGGTTCCGGTGAGGATGAATCCGTCGTCCGGGATGTACTTTTCATTGCCCAGCGTTACTTCCTCGCTTCCTCCGCAATTTAATGGGAAACCTGTTGTCCAACAGTACCGTCATTTCACAACAAGAAGAAATATAATTCTAGTTAGAAATTAAGCAGATTTATTTGTGAAATGGAGTACTTTACAAGAAAATAAAATCTAGTACGACCGACCTTTAGGGCCTGGAACGGCAATAGGAGCTGCAGAAGAAGAAATGGCGGCGAGGATGGGAATGCTAACAAGCCACGAGAGGAAGATGGAAGGAGACATATTTTGTTGTCCCCAAAATGTTTGTTTGGAAGCTAGAGAGAGGGGATGAATTGGGAGAGTGGTGGGTTGAGGCAAAAGAGGGTTGACACGTACATGGCTATGCATGGAGATAGTGAAATGGTTGAAAGTTCTAAGAGATTTTATGCACATATTGACCAAATCTCATTTTCACAAAAATAATATTTGGTCTTTTAACCTTCTCACAATTTTTATCCAATTGCGAATTCGATAGTCAATACTGCCAATGTGTACTCTTGTGATGCACATGTGTGGGTATCGATTTGGTATCAGACTCAATCATTTAGATCGCATTAAATATACTATGGTTTAATTTTGAACTTATGAACTCTCTTAAAACAGAGGCATTTTTTTTTTTTTAAGGATTGAGGTAATAGTAATGTAGTGATGTGAATGTCCACCAAACTCTTGGTTCGAATTTTGGGTCAACGACTGGAAAAGAAAAGATGAGAGAAAATGAGTTGGAAATGGATCATATAGAAGTAAATGATATTTTAGCCTATTTTGGTTCTCACTTTTTGTTTATTAGTCATGTTCATTTTCAATTTGGTTTTGAATTGGATTAGACCATATCATCTATGTTCGTGTGTCCCAATTAGCAAAAAATATCCTATAAATAAATAAATATATCATAATCTTCCATGAATTCATAAGAATATACAAAGTCTATCCACTTACTTTCCTCTTCAATTAAAAGGAAAGTAAGTGGATAGACTTTGTATATTCTTATGAATTTGATAGATAAACAATTAAAGAGGAAAGTAAGTGGATAGACTTTGTATATTCTTATGAATTCATGGAAGATTATGATATATCGTTTTATTTATACGATGTGTGAAACTTTTTTTTTCGGGTTAATTACATAGTTGGTCACTGAGATTACAAAAAACGTTCAAGTTTGGTCACTCGAAATATTTAAATCCATTAGTGGTACTTCAGTTTACTGAAATCGTTCATGTTTGGTCACTCTCCGTCTAATTCCGTTAACTTTTGCTGATGTGGCAGTCAACTCTCAAAGTTGACCGTTAACTTAGTGACGTGGCAATTAAGAAATATAAATAAAATAAAATTTAATCTATTTTAATGTCCAACTCATTTTATCATAAAATAAATAAAAAAATAAAAAATTATTTTTTATTTTATTTCATTTTTTCCACCATTGTCATTTCCGCCTTCCTTGATGACAATGCCACTCCGCTGCCTTCCACTGACGACGAGGATGGAACCCCTGCCGACGACAATGAGACTTTCTTCGACTTGGAGTTTGCGGTTGGGGAAGTGGGAGACGACGACAACAAGGAAGAGGGGCAGAGGAAGGGGGATTCCTCCGCCGATTCTGATTTCGACGGCGGTGGTGGCGACGGAGAAGAGGGAGAGTTCGATTTCAAGCTGACGTCAGCTTCCAGCTGCAACGACCGTGCGGACCCCACCAACCAGCTGTCACTTTCCCCTTCCAACGAGATGTTCTTCAAGGGAACGTTGGTGCCGATGATGGAATCTTCCGACGCCATGAACCCTAAATCTCAGAGGATCCCGTCTCCCTGCTCAAATCCGCCACCAAATTTAGGGTTTTCTTGTTGGGATTCAAGAAATCCAACAAGGTAAAAAGTCCCGGTGAACAGAAAACTGTTTGATTCCGTCGGAGATGGGGATACGACACGGCGTCGGAGAATGTCAATTTGTTGTCCGACAATGTCAATTTGAGCAACTTGCTTTAATGGACCAGCTTGCTTCTTTAATTTGGACCAGTTTGCTTCCGCTGCAAGCTTGTAATTTCCTTCAACAGGATAGAACAGCGGCGTCGGAGAAGAAAGAGGAAGAAGGAAAGGGAAATGAAAATGGGAAACAAGGGAAGCTTTTCATAGTGAAGTTCAAAGTTGAGGAGGTTTCGATTGTGTCTCTAAGTTATTTATTTTATTTATGTATTTATTTTATGGTAAAATGAGTTGGATATTAAAATAAATTTTATTTATTATTTTTTAATTGCCACGTCACTAAGTTAACGGTCAATTTTGAGAGTTGACTGCCACATCAGCCAAAGTTAATGGATTTGGACGGAGAGTGACCAAATGTGAACGATTTCAGTAAGCTGAAGTACCACTAATAGATTTAAATATTTTGAGTGACCAAACTTGAACATTTTTTTATAATCTCAATGACCAACCATACAATTAACCCCTTTTTTCCATCTTCTTTTCCTAGTCAGTAAGGAAGGAATTAGACTATTATCCTAGTGACTTTAACAGAATTCTCACCTCTTATCAGTTATCACCCCTGACCTCTTGTTAGAATTTCTTAACCAAACTCGCACAATCCGTTTCCATAGAAAAATGACCAAAGACAACTTCCAACCATCAATCACGGCTCAAGCCTCCCCCAAGCTTCAAAGCAGCCCACCTCGAGGGTGGGCCTCCAAATTCAACAATTTCAGGCACACTCCTTGAAGACATGATATTGAGATACTTTTTAAGTTGCAGAAGAGACATGCATAACTAATCCCACTAATTCTTTTGTCCAAGTTAGCTGCCATTGGCAGAATTCCCTTAGCTATTATAAAAATAAAATAAAAACTTAAATTTTGGCTGAATCTGTAACTTCTACAATTTTTTCCAAAAACCATCTCCTGGGAAGGTCTACCTCTTCTCATTCCATATCATGATCTCCCTACCATCTCCTACCCGCCATCTTGAGCCTTCACTAATAAGTTCACGAGCTCCCAGCAAACTCCGCCAAACATAACAAAGATTGGAATGTCTTCCAACCCTGTAAAATAATAGAGTTAGATCAAGATTCTTGCCATGAGAGTATGGGGAGATTTAATGATTCTCCAATATTTTTCTTGTCAGGATTGATTTGTAGGAAGCTCTCAGGTCCCTAGAAGCAAGTCCACCCTCCTCTTTAGCATCACACATCTTGTCCACTACATTTTCTTCGTTTCTCCTTTCATTCCCCCACCAAAACCGATAAAAAGGCCTTCAATTTTCATTAAAATTCTCTTACGGTCTCAAACACTGACATAGAACATGTGATTTAGAATAAGTTGAGAGAACAATGGAGAGAGAGAGAGTGAAAGTGGAAAGTGAGGGAGGAGAAGTTGAGTCCCATTTCTTTCGAGGGCTTCAAGCCCTTTTTATACCTGGAGGAGGTATCGAGTGTCGCGCGTCACTGATTGGGCGCGATACTACTTAGTCTTTGAGTTGAGGATTTAGTAACACTCCCAACAACAATATAACAATAAACTCATAGTTAACTAATAACATAAATACATGCAACTTATATTATTATCTTACAATAATTATAACCACTTAACAAAAAGATATACAATGGTATGGGGTAATAAATTGGGCATGCCCCGTATGAATTGTCTTAGTCTCTTATTAGTTATCATATGTTAAACATCTCTTTCTTTTAGGTTTTCATCCAACTTAATGTATGATCTTTATCTAAATTAGGAGTTCATATATTGTTGAATGGAATAAAATTTTGAATTTTGAATGGTTAGGCTACTTATTAAGTATTCATACATTAGTAATTTTCTAATTAGTTAGCAGACCAATCCGTTAAATAAAAAAATATTGGTTAATCAGTTAAATAAAAAAAATTAACCAACTCAAACCAAATATTCAAATTAAAAAACCAAATTATTGAAATACTATTGATTAATATAGTTACCACGTTAACCAATCCATTTCAACACTCGAAGTTCCAACACGGATGCCTTAGGGGCAGGGGCGGATACATGAGGGTTTAGGGGTGTCCCGGGACACCCCTAAAATTTGGGAATACGATTATTCAATCCCCGGTAGTAGTTTTGTATGGATAAAAAAATATAATTAGTGATTCGGGACACCCCTACAACGATAATCCTATCCTCGGTAGTAGTTTGTGTATACTTAAAAAAAAAGCGATAGTATGTGTTATTCAAACTTAGGATATACTATATTTTTAAACATTGTTCTCCATTAATTTGCAACTAATTTGTTGTTCTATTTTTTTTTTATGGTTAATCAAAATTTCATTAAGCACTAGAGGTTGCAACTGCAAACCTCCTTCTCAAAAGACCAGCCTTGAAATTCAGTACAGTCAGCTAACTATGCAAAAGGGAATAAAAACCTATCTATGCTTCACTACATCACTTCAGCGAGTCCTTGCAGCAAGTATCCATTTCACCTCTTCCTCAATTCGACCAGCTAGTTTACTTGGGGAGCAAATCACACTATCATGAGCCCGACAGTAACCTTCTCGCCATACATAACTCACACACAGCGACCATCTCAATCTTCCTTCACTTTTAACTCCTGTATCATTCGTCCATTGTCTGACTGCCCATTGCAGATGATCCTGTCATGTACAGAATTCTGGAAACCTGCAAATTCTAGACAAAACAGTACATAAAACACTCCTACTGTACGAGCAAGTTGAAAACAGGTGATCCCTGGTCTCACTACCGCCTGGACATAAGCCACATGAAGTATCATCAGTTAGCCCCCAACTCTGCAACTTATCTTTCGTAGTGATTCTATTGATAATTACAAGCCACAGCAGTAAACTATGCTTCGGACTATATGGTTTACCCCAGACAGCTTTGTGCCATTCTACTACAGCCTGGGGACTTCGTATAGCCTTCCATACAAGTTTAACAGAGTATTTTGGCAAGAGTTTGCCATCCCAAGCAAGTTCCCCTTCACTTCCAGTTATTTGATCCCTTGCCCCCACCCTGCTCTTCAGAATCTTCCTCCAAATCCAGGTACCTGCTGAGTGCTCTGCTATATCCCAAATGGACCTCGTTTTTAAATGATATTTCTTCACCCAAGCAACCCAAAGGGAACCAGAAGCAGCCATTACTATTTTAAACACTACGTAATAGTAAAAAGTTATTCCTCATCCCCGACTATTTTCAAAATCTAACAATTAAACTAATTACGAGCTACCCTTAATTTGAATTGATTTTATGGTTACACAACAAATGTTGAAAGAGTCTTTTCAACTTTGAGTTACATCAAGAACAAGGTTAGAAATCCATATGCGATCAGTTCGTGAACTATTGTCTAGTAGGATATACAGATTTGTTGAGTAATTTACCAAGCCTATTTTTTTATTCTTTTTCATAATATAAAAACACGTCGTGGCCTTTTGTTAAAATTTATACTAGTGCAATATTTTTTTATTTATGAATTATTTATTTTATTTTAATTTTTGTTGAAAAGAACACTCCTATTAAAAATTTCTAGATCCGTCACTTCTTAGGGGAGGTGTATTGGGTCATCAGGGCCTTAATGTGGTTATGTTTGGAAAAACTTAATGGGCCTAAGGATAGCGTAGCTAGGCCTACTAAAAGAACCAATTTTTCTTTTAAAAGAAAAACCAATTTTGAACCCTAACTGCTACTCCTCTATCCACCCGGTACTCATTCCATCAGTGGTCGCCGGCCACCAAGCAGAAACATCGTCACCGTCGTAGGTTCAACCATTCGGCGGCTCGGCTCCTCCCCGGCATCTTCGGTCTTCTCTTTAAATCCTTCCGGAGAGCGCATCGAACGCAACTCTGATTTCTCAGAGTGTAACTTGAAGAGCTGAAGTGGAGTTTGAAAGTAGCAAACTCAAGCATGAAGGTCTTCCAAATAGACGGAAACAACACTCTTTCTCTCGCCCTCTTCGCCGAAGTCGCCAACTCCAAGTAACAATTCCTCTCTTTCATTTCCTCTATTTCTTTGTATTTGGTTGCTGCGTATGGAAATTGCTTTTGGAAATGTTCTAGCTGGTTGAAGGCTTGAAGCACTAAATGAGTTACACAGGATGTGCTGAAGTTTTGTAGTAACTAATGAGGATTTTGGAGCTTGCTACTGTTCCTTGTGATTAAGGAGGAAAATTCACTTATTTGTTAGAATGAACAAAAAGAAGTTTCCTGTGGCGTGCTAGAACTGTGGAAGATTGCCTTGTAATTGGAATTAGAAAGGACAATTTTGATTGACCTACCCAAGATATGGACTTCTCTCAGCTACCTGAGCAATAAGAGCAATGCCCCAATTGGTTTCCATATCTAGCAGTCTCGAACTTTTGCACAGAAGAAAGTTGCAGTTTCATGGCCCTGGAAGAGAAACTTGATCTTCCTCCATTGCTCACACTCTGCACCTTCTGCATTTTGTTTTTTTATAATTGCTAAGTTTGATTTCACATGTACATATGTCGGCAACTGCGAAGTTATGTATAACAGTTAGTTACTAGAGTTTGTACGACCTTGCCCTTAAGCTCACTGCATGACTCTTATGCTGCAGGGAGCTTCTTGATTCTATGCAAGCCGGGAATCTGGAGCTAGAAGTTGCCTTTATGAATGCATTACTTGTATGCTTCTTTTAGACAAACCTTCAACTGAGTTGCCCTTTAGATTTCTCGTCCAAATGTTCTTTCTAAAACCTTCTTTCTTCCTTTTTTGAACGAGCAGACTTTTCTGATCGATTGCATTCCTTTATGGCAGATCCCAGATGTTTTCCCCGTTCTCGCTGCAGCACACAGGGCGCTTGTTTCGAAGTCTCGGGATTCATTGACAACACGGACTCTTCATTCTGAGCTTGTCTACAATTATTCGGGATCCAAGCATGTAAATCCCCAAGCCCTAGTTACATAACTATGTATTTTTGTCTAAATTTCCCTAGTTCGAAGCTCCAATTAATCAGTGGATTTAATATGTACTACATACTTGTGATTGTGCCAGATTACAGAATCCTTGAAACGATGTGGTATCTCAGACAGCTGTAAGTACGTCCTGGCAGCTCGCTTCAATGCAACACCAGAAGATGTAAGCTTTCCTCTTTTCTAAGAACTTTAATATAGTGAGTCGCCTTTGAGATTCATAGGTTTCAAGCCACAAAGATCACGACCATACTGAAATGTTACTGCTTCGCTCTTTAGATGAAAATGGCGGAGAAGCTTCTCAACGGTAAAGAGGTCAAGTTAGAGGAGTTGGAGAGCAGAGCAAATCAAGCTCAAATATTGAAGGTTTGGTTTACAAACTTGATGCTTTGGCTCTCAATGGGAACATATAGAACAATATTGTTGCTTTCAAGCTACTGGTAGTAACCGTAGGATTGTCTGGTATTATGCTGTTTCAGCATTTCAAAATCTCTGGGATGGAGCTAGGGATTTCCTCGCTTGCTGATGCCATTACATGCCGAATAGCGTCCCGGGATGCCTTGTGAGAGAAGATAAGACATGTTTGGAGTAGCTCCAGTTTTAAAGCTTGGCTCTGTGGACTATATGTAAATGGTGTACTTTGTGCTGGTTGTAAGCTTAACCAAAGAATGTGGTCATTATGTTTCGGGATGTAGAAACAGTGGCGGACCCAGGATCGTCGGAGAGGTGTGTCGCCGATAAAATGTAATAATAAATAAATTAAATTAAAAATTAAGTAAAAATTAAAAGAAATTAATTCATAAAGTTCACAATGTCATGTTTACAACGAACCGCGACGACTTTTCATCTGCTGAAATGTCTCTATAATACATTCATCACTTATGCTGCAAAGCAAATCTTTTTCAATATACACAACTAAACAATCATTCATAAATTGGTCACTCAACCGATTTCGAAGATCGTTCTTGATTATCTTCATAGCTGAAAATGCTCTTTCACAGCTTGCAGTTGCCACAGGTAAGGTCAACACCAACTTTAACAGCAAGTAAACTAAAGGATAAAGAGTGTCCTTTCCCCTTTCCACCAATTTCCTAGCTAGCTCGTCGATTCCTCGCAATCCATCAAAGCTCTTATCCTCCTTGACATGAGAAATGTAGCCCCCCAATTGTTGATGAAGTCGTGAGAGCACATTGGATGGAAACTCCTCGGGATAAAACTCAGTAAGACTCATCAACTTTGCTTTATCAAAAGAAGCAAAAGAGTTACCTGGACTAAAACAAGAAATGCAGTCCAACAATCGAGTGTTTACCTCACCAAATCGAGTATTCAATTCTTGCAACTGCAAATCTATAACTGCATAGAATAAATCGACTTGATAGTAATGCAAGTTTGTAGGCTGATGAGGGGTGCTACGGGGGAATAGGGGATTATATTTTTTGCGACTTGCGAGCGAGAGAAGAGGGAACAGGGGGAATAATGGGGATGGGTCGCTGGGGCTTGGGATACGGACAGGGAAATGGCAATTGGGCCATTAATTTGGGGATTGAGCCATTAATTGGATTGGGAGGGAAGGAATAATAATGGGAGGAGGTGGCCGACTGGGCTATTGCCCATTTGGCCTATGATTTTTTTTTCTCTATTTAATTATAGGCCCAGGCCCAACAATATATTGTATGAGTTGAGAGTGTTTTTTTTTATATGAAGGATAGGATTATGCTTTAGGAGTTATTTTAAACAAAATTAAAAAGGATTATGATTAAGATTGATTCATTTAGATAATAATTTCTTCGAGTATAATGAAGGTGTGTCGGCTATAATTATTGAAGGTGTGTCGGCTATCCCGAAGTAAAAAATTTTGTACCAAAAATATATAGGTCCTTCGTAAAATTCTCGAGCGAGGGTGTGTCGCACCCTGCCCCTTCTTAGGTCCGCCTCTGTGTAGAAATGTTTGTGTTGTAAAATGCTTTCTATTTTTACCCGCGTCTTTTATGTGTCCGTTAGTGAGTATTATTATACCGCGCTATCCAAACACGGTGTTAACACGTGGGTGGGACAGCAGCAACCGTTTGCTTGCGTATGAAGCAGCAAGAGGCGGGGGCGTCGTTTTAACGCTGCTTGAACCGAGAATAGCCGGTGACCATGCCGAGGGATAAGCGAAGCTCCCATGAGATGTCTTTTTGCAGTTGTGTCCCTATTGCCGCTCCTTTTTCTTTTTCTCTTTACTTTTTGGCCCCTGTTCTTTCGTACTTTTTCTTTTTCATCAGTTGTGCATTTTTGTGTTTAAAGTTTAAAGAAACATTCGTCATTTAAAGTTTAAACCCTGAATTATGGTATTTATTTTGGTTTGAAATTATTTTTTACTGGACTCTCAGGCGTATTTTTCTTTGTTAGCTGTAAATAGAAAAAGATATTTAAGCCTCACAATACTGTCCTGAGAAAATTTATTTTCAATTATACTAGTGAAAAATTAAAACATACGAACGAGATTTTAACTAGAGAAGAAGAAAATTCAGAAATGATTCCAAAGGTGACTTTGTGTTCACAATATATTTTTAGGCACTCGAGGGATGATACGAGTAGATACAAAAGTTTGTTCCACATATATGACAAAATATTAGATAGATAAAAGAAAACATTGACATTATGAATTGCAAAAATACCGCTCCAACTTATTTGGTGGAGAAAATAAAATTTTACAAATTTAAAAGGGTGAACTAGTGGTAATGTGGGGATAGAACATCCACCATATCCTATGTTCGAACAATGAAGCCAATAACTAGCGGAAAAAATTGAAATTCTCACTGAAATATCTTGTTCCTTACAAGGTACGATGATAATTAACTCTTGATTAACAAACAAGTAAGAATTTCGTTTCCAATCTGCTCTGATGAGTTCATATGTGATGTGGTGCTCTATGACTGCTAATCACACTCTACTAGAGAGACGATGATAATTTGATTGAGATTTCGACTTTAAAATGATTGTAAATACAACATGATATGAAAAGTGGAATATCACGCAAGTTGAAATCTTGAAACCATCAAATGTGATGGAAGACCAATAAATGATGGTTGAAGAATATGAAAGAATGATACAAAAGTAAAAATACAAATTTCTTATGTTATGAGACTGAAATGACCACAAACTCAAATTTAAAACCTACACGGATTTGATAGAGTGGCTAGTCCTGGACTTCAAAACTATAAATGCTAAGGGGTCGTTTGCTTGTCGGATTTGAAAAATGAGGGTTTTGGCCAATAAAAACCTTGGAATTTATGTTGGATTTATTGGATTATGGATTTGAAGAGTAATGTTTGCATGATAGATTTGATGATGGATTTGTTAAATAAATAACTAACCATCAAGGATTTGCAAATCCCAAATCAATATGTGGGATTTACAAGTCCGTAGGGTCCACGGATTTGGTTCCAAAATAAAAACCAAATCCGTGGACCCCACGGATTTAACACCCTTCAACAAACAATGGACTTATGTTAAATCCATCAAGTTTCGGATTTGGGTACCAAATCTATGACCCAAATCCAACAAGCAAACGAACCCTAAGTTTCAACGCTCATGATGCACAAATCTGTCTCTCTTATCCCTCTTTTGTAGAGGCGATTCTAATGTTTTAGTTATAATTTTATATGATTTACTGATTTAGTGACTAGTAGGTAGTAAGTAACAAATATAAGGAAGCCTAGGGGCATATCTGCAATAATAAGAAAAAAATTAGCCACTAGCCTGGGAAACCGGCTATCAACAGTCATCCCACATGAATTTTCCGTGTATATATAACAACCTAGTCCCCGTCCCCACCTTCCTCCCTCTTCCCTTTTCAGAACCACGCACTTCTTGAAATTTCAGGCAAACTTTTTCCATTCTGCGAAAGCGATCGACACAGAGAAAATCTTAACGAGCTAGCAGAACAGTTCCCACTTTGTCTGCGTCTCTCTCCACCAAAATCCTGTACAATCTCCGCCATGGGAACTTCTCATAGTCGCGAAGGATCAGACCTCTCCGACTCCGACGACTACCACTCCGAAACAGAGGATCGCGACGAAGAAGAAGAGGAGTACGAGGAGGTTCACTACGACGCTGTCGAGCGCCAAGAGACGCCTCAAACGACTTCTTCCAACCGGACAATCGACGACATCGACACCAAATTGAAATCGCTGAAGCTCAAATACGGCGATTCCGGTCAGGGCGGTGGCGACCGTCGCGTCAAGCTGTACCTCCACATAGGTGGAAACAGTCCCAAGGCTAAGTGGATCGTCTCCGAGAAGTCGGCTTCGTACGCCTTCGTCAGGAGCTCCGAGATCGGCGGCGGAGGGGATTCCGATGAGGACGAAGGAGGATCTTCCAGCGCTGGAGGTAATAATTCGTTGTGGATTCTCCGGGTCGGGGCGAAAGTTAGAGCTAGGGTTTCGACGGAGATGCAATTGAAGATGTTTGCGGATCAGAGGAGGGTCGATTTCGTCGATAGTGGTGTCTGGGCGTTGCGATTCTCCACTGATGAAGAGTTCAGAAAATTCGTTAACGAGTACCACGATTGCTTGTTCGAGAATGTGTACGGGCTTAAAGCGACCGAGGAGAGCAAGGTGAAGGTCTACGGGAAGGACTTCATCGGCTGGGCGAAACCGGAAACTGCCGACGATTCGATGTGGGAGGACGCGGAAGGCGGCGATCCGGCCGGAGAAGAGAAGTTCTCGCCGTTGCGAGCGAATCAAGATTTGATGGAGGAATTCGAGGAGGCAGCTAATGGTGGCGTCCATAGCTTGACTCTGGGTGCCCTGGACAACAGTTTCCTTGTCAGCGATCTGGGTGTTCAGGTTTACAGGAATAATCAAAAGGGCATCCATGGCAAGGGCATTTGTGTGAGCTTTGATCACAGGAACAGTGGATCTAGTTTGACGAAATCTAATCCGAAGAAGGGGATGCTCATGAGAGCTGAAACGAATATGATGCTCATGAGTCCCATGAAGGAAGGCAAACCCCATTCCACAGGGATCAGACAGCTTGATATAGAAACAGGGAAGATTGTGTCAGAGTGGAAGTTTGAGAAAGATGGGACAGAGATTACAATGAGGGATATCACAAATGATAACAAAGCGTCTCAATTGGATCCTTCAGAGAGTACATTCTTGGGGTTGGATGATAACAGGTTGTGTCAATGGGATATGAGGGATAAGAGTGGGATTGTGCAGGATATCGCTAAAGCCAGCGGTTCGCCTGTTCTGCAATGGAGTGAAGGGCATCAGTTCTCGAGAGGTACTAATTTCCAGTGCTTTGCGAGTACTGGTGATGGATCCATTGTTGTTGGGTCACTGGATGGGAAGATTAGGTTGTACTCAAGGAGATCACTGAGACAGGCTAAGACAGCTTTCCCGGGTCTTGGTTCGCCCATCACTCATGTGGATGTTACTTATGATGGGAAATGGGTGCTGGGGACTACTGATACATACTTGATTCTCATTTGCACTCTGTTTACCGACAAGGACGGTAAGACTAAGACTGGATTCGGTGGTCGAATGGGGAATAAAATACCAGCTCCCAGATTGTTGAAGTTGATTCCACTGGATTCGCATTTGGCTGGTGGCAATAACAAGTTCCATGGCGGTCATTTCTCATGGGTAAGGACTTAGACTTGATTGTAGTTTGATTTGCCTTTCGTGTTGTTTTTCTATGTGCCATTTACTGTTTTTTTGTATTTGGCAATGCCGGTTGTCTCTTTTGATTAGAGTTTAAATGCTACCAGTCTCCGGGTTT